CTATAGACTAGACTATAGACTAGACTATAGACTAGACTATAGACTAGACTATAGACTAGACTATAGACTAGACTATAGACTAGACTATAGACTAGACTATAGACTAGACTATAGACTAGACTATAGACTATAGACTAGACTATAGACTAGACTATAGACTAGACTATAGACTAGACTATAGACTAGACTATAGACTAGACTACAGACTATAGACTAGACTATAGACTAGACTATAGACTAGACTATAGACTAGACTATAGACTAGACTATAGATTAGACTATAGACTAGACTACAGACTATAGACTAGACTAGACTATAGACTAGACTATAGACTAGACTACAGACTATAGACTAGACTATAGACTAGACTATAGACTAGACTATAGACTAGACTATAGACTAGACTACAGACTATAGACTAGACTATAGACTAGACTACAGACTATAGACTAGACTATAGACTAGACTATAGACTAGACTATAGACTTGACTATAGACTAGACCATAGACTAGACTATAGACTAGACTATAGACTACACTATAGACTAGACAATAGACTAGACAATAGACTAGACTATAGACTAGACTATAGACTAGACTATAGACTGGACTATAGACTAGACTGGACTATAGACTAGACTATAGTCTATAGACTAGACTATAGACTATAGAATAGACTATAGACTAGACTATAGACTAGACTATAGACTAGACTATAGACTAGACTATAGACTAGACTATAGACTAGACTATAGACTAGACTATAGACTAGACTATAGACTAGACTATAGACTAGACTATAGACTAGACTATAGACTAGACTATAGACTAGACTATAGACTGGACTATAGACTAGACTATAGACTAGACTTTAGACTAGACTATAGACTAGACTATAGACTAGACTATAGACTAGACTATAGACTAGACTATAGACTAGACTAAAGACTAGACTACAGACTAGACTATAGACTAGGCTATAGACTAGACTATAGACTAGACTATAAACTAGGCTATAGACTAGACTATAGACTAGACTATAGACTAGACTATAGACTAGACTATAGTCTATAGACTAGACTATAGACTAGACTATAGACTAGACTATAGACTAGACTATAGACTAGACTATAGACTAGACTATAGACTAGACTATAGACTAGACTATAGACTAGACTATAGACTAGACTATAGACTAGACTATAGACTAGACTATAGACTAGACTATAGACTAGACTATAGACTAGACTATAGACTAGACTATAGACTAGACTATAGACTAGACTATAGACTAGACTATAGACTAGACTATAGACTAGACTATAGACTAGACTATAGACTAGACTATAGACTAGACTATAGACTAGACTATAGACTAGACTATAGACTAGACTATAGACTAGACTATAGACTAGACTATAGACTAGACTAAAGACTAGACTATAGACTAGACTATAGACTAGGCTATAGACTAGACTATAGACTAGACTATAGACTAGACTATAGACTAGACTATAGACTAGACTATAGACTAGACTATAGACTAGACTATAGACTACACTATAGACTAAACTATAGACTAGACTATAGACTGGACTATAGACTAGACTATAGACTAGACTATAGACTAGACTATAGACTAGACTATAGACTAGACTATAGACTACACTATAGACTAAACTATAGACGACTATAGACTAGACTATAGACTAGACTATAGACTAGACTATAGACTAGACTATAGGACTAGACTATAGACTAGACTATAGACTAGTCTATAGACTAGACTATAGACTAGACTATAGACTAGACTATAGACTAGACTATAGACTAGACTATAGACTAGACTATATACTAGACTATAGACTAGACTATAGACTAGACTATAGACTAGACTATAGACTAGACTATAGACTAGACTATAGACTAGACTATAGACTAGACCATAGACTAGACTATAGACTAGACTATAGACTAGACTATAGACTAGACTATAGACTAGACTATAGACTAGACTATAGACTAGACTATAGACTAGACTATAGACTAGACTATAGACTAGACTATAGACTAGACTATAGACTAGACTATAGACTAGACTATAGACTAGACTATAGACTAGACTATAGACTAGACTATAGACTAGACTATAGACTAGACTATAGACTAGACTATAGACTAGACTATAGACTAGACTATAAACTAGACTATAGACTAGACTATAGACTAGACTAGACTAGAGACTAGACTATAGTCGAGTATAGACTAGACTATAGACTACACTAAATTTTGTTGCTTAGCAACATGTTGCACAACATGTTTCCATTAAAAAATATATCTAAGGTTTTAAGATGGTCACATTTTCCTTAACAATTCCATTAAAAATTTCTTATTTATCCATTTCTATATTATGTACTTTACATTTATTTATATATTATTTGAATAAAAATGTCAGTTTTCCTTTTTGTTAATTTGAATCACAACAAAAAAAACATACAAAATCTCTAGATAAATAATAGTTATTTTGTGGCTAAATAATAGTAAGTTCAAGTTGACATTTACTTTGGGGGTTATTTTTCTATTCTTTTTAATATTTATTTATAAATTTTGTTGTTAAGGCTTATGTTAAGCTTACAAATTATTTATATTTGTATATTATTGCGACATAGATAAATAAATAGAAAAAAAGGGGTGTTTTAGTACTTTTTTCGGTAGTTTTGTTCTTTTGTTTTAGGAAAAAAGAAGAAAAAACTATTTCTAGACTTGGCAGACAATAGTCGGTTTTTATAATATTGTTTTGGGTATTATAAGTTTTTTACAGCTTTTTTTATTTGTTTAAAACTGACAACGACCTTCACCTCAATTGTTGTATGACTAAAAATGCAACAAAACAAAAACAAGAAACTACACATGAAGCAATCAACAATTATACGGATTATAATCGTATGTTGTGCTGTTATTTAACGGAGGGAAACAAGGTTGAAAAACAAGCTTTTAAAGGGAAATAAGGGTAATTTAAGAGGCTTTTATGTATTTTAGAAAGACACAGCAACATGTTGATAAACACTTTTTGCCATAACGATCTTTTTTAAAGTAATTAAGTAATATGAAAATCAGTTTATAGTTTAGAATTGCAACAAGTTGCTGAACTTTGTTTCTGCAACATGTTAATGAAAAATGTTGTGCCAACAATATAAACTTTTCATCTTGGCCAGCTATAAACTAGAACAGAACAAGAACAGTACTACAGAACAAGAACAAAACTAGAACAGAACTAGAACAGAACTAGAACAGAACTAGAACAGAACTAGAACAGAACTAGAACAGAACTAGAACAGAACTAGAACAGAACTAGAACAGAACTAGAACAGAACTAGAACAGAACTAGAACAGAACTAGAACAGAACTAGAACAGAACTAGAACAGAACTAGAACAGAACTAGAACAGAACTAGAACAGAACTAGAACAGAACTAACGAACTAGAACAGAACTAGAACAGAACTAGAACAGAACTAGAACAGAACTAGAACAGAACTAGAACAGAACTAGAACAGAACTAGAACAGAACTAGAACAGAACTAGAACAGAACTAGAACAGAACTAGAACAGAACTAGAACAGAACTAGAACAGAACTAGAACAGAACTAGAAACAGAACTAGAACAGAACTAGAACAGAACTAGAACAGAACTAGAACAGAACTAGAACAGAACTAGAACAGAACTAGAACAGAACTAGAACAGAACTAGAACAGAACTAGAACAGAACTAGAACAGAACTAGAACAGAACTAGAACAGAACTAGAACAGAACTAGAACAGAACTAGAACAGAACTAGAACAGAACTAGAACAGAACTAGAACAGAACTAGAACAGAACTAGAACAGAACTAGAACAGAACTAGAACATTACTAGAACAGAACTAGAACAGAACTAGAACAGAACTAGAACTGAACTAGAACTGAACTAGAACTGAACTAGAACAGAACTAGAACAGAACTAGAACAGAACTAGAACAGAACTAGAACAGAACTAGAACAGAACTAGAACAGAACTAGAACAGAACTAGAACAGAACTAGAACAGAACTAGAACAGAACTAGAACAGAACTAGAACAGAACTAGAACAGAACAGAACAGAACAGAACAGAACAGAACAGAACTAGAACAGAACTAGAACAGAACTAGAACAGAACTAGAACAGAACTAGAACAGAACTAGAACAGAACTAGAACAGAACTAGAACAGAACTAGAACAGAACTAGAACAGAACTAGAACAGAACTAGAACAGAACTAGAACAGAACTAGAACAGAACTAGAACAGAACTAGAACAGAACTAGAACAGAACTAGAACAGAACTAGAACAGAACTAGAACAGAACTAGAACAGAACTAGAACAGAACTAGAACAGAACTAGAACAGAACTAGAACAGAACTAGAACAGAACTAGAACAGAACTAGAACAGAACTAGAACAGAACTAGAACAGAACTAGAACAGAACTAGAACAGAACTAGAACAGAACTAGAACAGAACTAGAACAGAACTAGAACAGAACTAGAACAGAACTAGAACAGAACTAGAACAGAACTAGAACAGAACTAGAACAGAACTAGAACAGAACTAGAACAGAACTAGAACAGAACTAGAACAGACTAGAACAGAACTAGAACAGAACTAGAACAGAACTAGACCAGAACTAGGAACAGAACTAGAACAGAACTAGAACAGAACTAGAACAGACTAGAAACAGAACTAGAACAGAACTAGAACAGAACTAGAACAGAACTAGAACAAGAACTCGAACAGAACTGGAACAAAACTAGAACACAAAATGTTGTTTTAAACTTCGTTATCAATTAATATTAAATTATTATACATTTAGCAACATTGTTTATAAACAAAGCTGGTTAAACTTTGCTTAGCTACAATGTTGCTAAATATGTATTTCTTTACTTCTTTATAATTAAATTAATTATTCCCCTTTTTCTTTTTTTCAGTCTACCCATACCCTGGCTCTTATTTGGCATCTTCTATGGTGCACCCGTTGAAGTCAACTCCGTTGGCATGGTCTGCTCCATAACGATATTGTTTATGATGTTAATATTTGTCGTTATGTCAATTGCCTGCTTCCGTTGGCGCATGAATAAGGGTTTAGGTTTTACCATGTTTTTGTTATATTTCGTTTTTGTTGCCGTTTCGTTAATGTTTGAATATGATGTAATAACATGTCCAGTGTAAAATGTTATAGACGAAATTTAAAAATTATTAAAAATAAAACCGTAAACATTATATATTATAATAATAGTAACAACAAAAAATACAAAAAAAAAACAACTTTATATACAAACATATATAAACAACAACAACAAAAAAAATTAAATAATAATAATAATGAAAAAAACCAAAAAAAAAACATTTATATAAGAAAATTGTTAATAATTTTTAAGTAAGTTTATTAAGAAAATTTATTAATTTAAACCAACAAAAAAAAAACAGAAAAAAGTATATAAAAATCAAGAATTTGCAAAACTTGATAAAAATGAGTAAAAAGTGAAGTAAACCAACAAACAGAATGTATTGTACTTTAGCAACAAAAAAACATGAAAAAAAATTAACAAAAAAATTAGCTAAAAAATTATAAAAAAAATGATTTAATATAATAGAACAAAAAACTGCGTTATTTACAACGCTAAAGTGCTCATTAACAGAGAAATTGTTATTTATTTATTAATTATTATTAATTATATAAAATTATTATTTTTTAACATTTTATTTTTATTATTATTATTAAATATTTAACAAAAACAAAAAACTAAATATTTTTTTTGTTGTTATTAAGAAATTGATAAACCAAACGTAAACTTTAGATAAAAATTCTTTAACGTAAAAATCTACGAAAAATAAAACTCCTTTATATAAACAAAAGAAAAACTATACTTTAGACTTTAATATTAATATAACATTACTAAAATACTAAACTAATACTCGTACATACAAAAACATATTACTAATTATATAAAATTTTTATTAAATTTACCTCCCCCTTTCCCCTTAAACCCTTAAAAAAAAACTCACCTACTTGTATTAAAAAAGCTTTCATTACCTTATTTAGATTGTTTTAAACATTTAACTTTTTTTAGTTTTAATATAATTTTATTTCATTATTACGTGAAAAAGTTAAAAGCTCTCTAAAGCTTTTTTCAATCAATTTAGTTTTTATAGCAATAATTGAAAAGCCAACATTGTAGGCTCATTTTGAAACGATTTTTGTGATTTTTAGCTGTAAAAAACGTAAAAGCGTTAAAAGCTCTAAAAAGCTTTTTTACAAAAGTTAAGTTTTTACAACAATTTTTTAAAGGTTAACACTGTAGGCTTATTTTCAAACGATTATTGTGATTTTTTTGTAAAAAAAAAAACGTAAAAGCTCTAAAAAGCTTTTTTTTCGAAAATGTATAATTTCTACAATAATTGAAAAGCCAACATTGTGCACTAATTTTTAAACGATTTTTATGATTTTCGCTTTAAAAAAAGTAAAAGCGTTAAAAGCTCTAAAGAGCTTTTTTGCAAAAATTTAGTCTTTACAACAACTATTGAAAAGCCAACATTGTAGGCTTATTTTGAAACCAATTTTGTGATTTTTTTCTGCAAGAAACGTAAAATCGTTAAAAGCTCTAAAAATTATTTTGAAATGATTTTTATGATTTTTGCTATAAAAAACGTAAAAGCTTTAAAAGCTCTAAAAAGCTTTTTTTTTAAAATTCAAATTTACAAAAATAATTGAAATGTAATCATTTTAGTCTTAATTTGTAAGGATTTTTGTAAATTTCCGCTGTAAAATCGTTAAAAGCTTTAAAAAGCTTTTTTACAAAAATTCAACTTTTTTTAGCAATAATTTAAAAGCAAACATTTTAGGCTTATTTCAAAATGATTTTATAAATTTTAGCTCATATTTCAATAAAAAGCTTTCAAAAGCTTTTTTAAAAACTCCAGTTATTTTCGTTAAAAATAATAAAAATTTTCATTTTAACTTAATATCTATTAATTTTAACGATTTTTAATTTTTAAAGCCGCTTAAAGGTAAAAAGCTTTTTAAAGTATAAAAGCTTTTATAAGCTTTTTAGAAAAAAACTTATATTTTTCAAACAAAAACAATGAAATTTATATTTTTAGCCAAATTTTTAGTTATTCTGGCATTTTTAGCTCATAAATAGATGATAGTAAGAAAAATAAAAAAAGCTTATAAAAGCTTTTTTGTAAAATTTTAAAATTTTTAATAAAAATGGTTCGTTGCTCTATTTTTCCTGATTATGGCAATTTTTGGTTCATAAATCTAATAAAAGTGCGAACAGTTAAAAAAAGCTTTTAAAAGCTTTTTCCAAAAATTTTATTTTTTAATAATAAAAATGATTTTCAACCTAGATTTATGGTTCATAAATCTAGTAAAAGTGCGAACAGTTAAAAAAAGCTTTTAAAAGCTTTTTCCAAAAATTTTATTTTTTAATAATAAAAATGATTTTCAGCCTTATTACTATGATTAATGGTAATTTTTAACCCATTTGGCAGGTTATAAATGCAAAAAAGATAAAAGCTTTTAAGAGCTTTTTTTGGAAAATAGCAAAAACCGTGATTTAACTTAATTTCTAGTAACTAGGATGATATTTGTTTAATAAAACTGGTTATAAATTTTGAATAGTATAAAAGCTTTGTTATAAAAAATTAATTAACTTTTCAATAACAATTAATTGTCTGTTGCATAGCTACAATTATTTTTTGAAGTATGGAGCAGGTTATTAGGGCAAAAATTATAAAAGCTTTTAAGAACTTTTTTGGGAAATTAACAAACAAATTAGGTTTTAACTTAATTTCTAATAACTATGGTGGTTATTGACTAAGAAAACTGGTTTAAAGCGTAAATAATAAAAAAAGTTTTTAAAAAGCTTTTTTCACAATTTTTCTATTTTTATTAAAAAATGGTTTTTAACTTGATTACTATTAATTAGAATAATTTTTAGCTTATAAAAAAGGTTAAAAGTGCAAAAATTTTAAAAGCTTTTAAAAGCTTTTTTCACAAAATATGACAAAAATTCAAAAATTTGTTTATAATTTCTTTTTAATTAATTTAGCTTGAATTTAAGTAGAGTTTTTGAGTTTTTTTTTATAAAGCTTTTTAAAGCTTTTAATGTTTAATTTTTTTTTTCTTATTTTTTTATAATTCTATTTGTTTGTAATGTTTAGTTTTCAACCATTATTATTATTTTTTTTTTTCAAATAATTACTCTAAACTAAAGCTTTTTTTGAGAAAAGCTTTTCCTATATGCAACATAAAATTATATGCTTTTATTACTTAATTGAAACTTAAACTATTAAAACAAATTTAAAGAAAATATTAATTAAACTATAACTATAATTTGCGTTAATTAAATTATATACTCAAAAAGACACTCATAAAAACATTTTAAATAAAAGCTATATAATTAATATGACCGACGAAAAAAAGCTTTTAATGAAAAGATTAACCAAAAAAACTTAACTATTTGTATAATTTAAGTTGCTTTATTATTATGAAACTAAACTATAAAACTAAATTTTTCTCTTTTAACAAAAACTCTCTCTCTAAACTATCTATTTAAATAACTCTCTCTATATGCTCTCTATTAGCTTACTAAGTTCTAAACAAATAAAAAAGAAAATACTCCAACAAAAAGTTAAGAAAACAACTAAAAGCTTTACTTAAACCCAAAAAATTATAAAACTTTTCTTTTACTTATAATCTCTAAACCAACAAAAAAGAAAAACTCTACTGTTAGAAAAAGCTAAAACTTTGAGACCTTTTTCAAAACTGAAAAACTAACTAACAGCAATAAACCAATTAGTAACATTTAATAAAACAACAACAAAAATGCAAAAATTGAAAAGAAATTTCAAATTAACGAATTAAAATAGTAAAAAATTTGTACAAAAAACCCTCAACAACAAATACGAAATAAATTTTTAATTAAAAACCTACAAAAAAAATAGTTACAAAACCAACAACATTAATAACATAACTAGGCATTTAAAATTATAAAAAAAAAATTAAACATAATAACAAAAAACATAAAACAAATTATTAAAAACCAACAACTTATATATGAAAGCAATAATTTACATAATATTAACAACAAAAAAAAAAAAAAAACAAATAAACAATAACAATTTATAATAAACTACATAAAAACATTAATTATATAAAATTCACTCAAAAACATAACTAAACTCACCTAACACTCCTCCCCCCCCTTTGCCCCCAGACCTCCTATTCCCACAACCCCCTCTCGTATAAACTTTATTATAACTAAATTAATATTCTAAACATAATATTATAAACAAAATGAACAAATAATATTTAAACAAAAAAAAAAAAACAAAAAATTCTTTTAAGCTAAAATATTTAAAAAAACAAAAAACATACGTATTACTATTACTTAAGACAAGAAATAACAACAACATAATAAAACACAATATTTATTATTAATGAAAAAAAAAACAACAACAAAATAATAAAAATCTCATTAAACTAAATTTTTAAATTATTATTAAATCAATTAACAAAATTATTTTTGCTTTAAGACTTTAAAAACTGCAAAACTACTCAAATTAACTAAAAAGCTTTCCATAAAAAAAAGCTTTTTTCATAAATATTAAAAATCAACAACTTTTAAGAACATTTAATACAATTTTTATAACATATTTTATAAAGAAATCTAAAATTTACCTAAAAGCTTTCAAAAGCTTTTTTTTCAAAATATTATTTTTTCAACCAACATAGCTTACATAAACATGTAATACAGTTTTTATAAATTTTTATGTAAAAAAAACTAGAATTTAACTAAAAGCTTTCAAAAGCTTTTTTTCAAAATGCTATTTTTTCATGCCAATGTAGCTTACATAAACATGTAATACAGTTTTTATAAATTTTTATGTAAAAAAACTAAAATTTACCTAAAAGCTTTCAAAAGCTTTTTTCAAACATTCACTTTTTTACACGAAAACCCTTTAAAATTGATTTTAAGTTCAATTTCTTGTTATAAAAATACTATTTTAGTGTATAATTTATAAAAGCTCCTCAAAGCTTTTTTCTAAAAATTACATGTTTAAACTAAATTCCTAAAAAGTTATTTTTTGTTTAATTTTTTATAATTTTGGCAATTTTTAGCACTTTTATGAACAAAAAAACTAAAATTTACCTTATAAAGCTTTCGAAAGCTTTTTATCAAATTTTTTCAACAAAACCCCTAAAAAATTTTAGAAGTTCAATTTCTTATAATAAAAATCGTATTTTAAAGTTTTAAAAATAAAAGCTCTTTAAAGCTTTTTTTATAATCAAAAATCATAAAAAGTGAATTTTTCCTTCATTGCGAACAATTTTAAAGTTTATAAAATTTTTTTGTTTAAAAAACTGGTTAATTTTATTAGGAAGTGAAAAAGCTTTCAAAAGCTTTTGTGTCAAAATCAAAAATTTCCATAAAATAACAATTTTCAGTTTAATATCTAATGAATATGGATATTTTTAACTTATAAAGGGCAAATAAAAATGTAAAAATAGCAAAAGCTCTTAAAAGCTTTTTTGAAAAAATAAAATTTTTCATAAAAATATGCATTTTTACTTAATTTCTTTTAATTTTAGCAATTTCTAGCTCTTAAATCTAATTAGACGTTTAAAGAGTAAAAAAGCTTTTAAAAGCCTTTTCACAAAAATCTAATTTTCTATAACAATTTTATTTTTACATTAATTTCTAATGACTATGGCGATTTTTATCACATAAAACTTAGAAGAAGTGTATAAAACATAAATGTTCTTAAAAGCTTTTTAAAAAAATTTAAATGCCTTTTATACAATTTTAAATTTTTCAACCAAAAATAAGAAAAAATTACTTTTAGCTTAAATTTTAGAAATATTTACTTAAAAAATTAAGGAAAATTGTAAAAAGAATAAAAAGCTTCAAAAGCTTTTTTACAAATATTGAAAATTTTTAAGCAATTATGAAAAGCCAACATTTTAAGCTTAATTAGAAGAGATTTTTACTGTTTTTAACACGTTTTTGAAGTAAAGCTTTCAAAAGCTTTAATCAAAAATTTAAATTTTTTACAATAATTAAAAAAAAAATACTTTAAAACTTTATTTATTCTATTTATAATGATTTTAAACTCATAAAATGGATTAAACTTAAAAAAAATAAAAGCTTTCAGGAGCTTTTTTTTTCAAAAATCAAATTTTTTCATAAAAAATTTAGTTTTTCTTAATTTTTTAACTATTATGACGATTTTTGAACACATGTAGCAAATTAAAGTGTAAAAAGAATAAAAGCTTTTCAAAGCTTTTTTACAAAAATGTAAGTTTTTCACTTAAAATAATAAAAAATTGATTTTTAACTTTATTTATTGTGTTTATTTTTTAGTAAAAAAGTTTTTTTCTGATAAATTTATTTTCAACTAAAGCTTTTAGTGTAAAAGCTTTCTGTTAATTGAGTAGTTTTATTATAAAAATTTCTTCAAATTCAAATAACTTTTCATTCTAACCCCATTATTCTTCCAAATAATTATAAACTAAACAAAACAATTTAATATTTAAACTTAAAACTTTAAACTATATTATAAACAAACTTTAACTAAATAAGATAAACTCATTTATAACAACAAAACAAAAACTACATTTATAAAAACTAACAAACTCTCACACACACATACATAACATTTTTAAAAACATATCCTTTTGCTCCTCTTAACAAGAAAAAAATCTTCTGAAAATTATTACCTTAAACAACAAACAAAAAAATTATTAAAAAAAAATAAAACCAACACTACATACAACAAACATACTTTTTCCTGTTAATATTTAAAAAATTAAAAAAAGAAAAATTATTATAATAAAAAGAAAATTGTTACAAAAAATTATGTTTTTCATTTTACCAAAAAAAAAATTAAATCATTTTAAAAAAATTCCTACTACTTTTCCCCTTTTAAATTTATAACTTAAAAAACTATAAAAAAATAATTAAACAAAAAAAGAAATGGTAATGCTTTAAGTAGTAAAAAAACAAGAATTATATAACTTATAATAATAAAAAATAAAATTATAAGTAATTAATAAATAAAATTGTTATGGAGTTTTAGAGTTTTAAACCGTTGAAAAATTGCATAAGAAATTGTTGATAAATTAGTCCAAGTTCATATATATAAAAAAAAATAATATTAAAATAAAAGAAAAAAATTAAAAAAAAAATAAATAAAATAATATTATTAATAAAACTTTAATGATATATACAAAAAAACACAAAAAAGCATACAATTTAATTTACATTAAATAAAAAACAACAAACGAAAATAAAAGAAAAAAATTTAAATAAAAATTGTTTAAAATTAAATAAAAAATCAAAAATCTATTTTTTTTTTTTCTCTAAATATCGGAAAATATTTAGTTTAGGTGAAATTTGGCAACAAGGCAAAATTTCTTAATAATGGCTTAATTTCTAAAATTTGGCTTAACTTTTGGAAATTTAGGTTTTGTGAAATTTAGCAACATGGCAAATTTTAAAAACTATAGTCCAGACTATAGACCAATCCATGGTCCAGACTATAGACCAATCTATAGTATAGACTATAGACCAATCTATAGTATAGACTATAGACCAATCTATAGTATAGACTATAGACCAATCTATAGTATAGACTATAGACCAATCTATAGTATAGACTATAGACCAATCTATAGTATAGACTATAGTCCAGACTATAGTCTATAGTCTAGACTATAGACTGATCTATAGACCAGACTATAGACTGATCTATAGACCAGACTGTAGACTAATCTATAGTTCAGACTATAAACTAATCTATAGTGTAGACTATAAACTATTATATAGTCCAGACTATAGACTAATCTATAGTCCAGACTATAGACTAATATATAGTCCAGCCTATAAACTAAACTACAGTGTAGACTACATACTAAACTATGGTCCAGACTATAGATTATTCTATAGTCCAGACTATAAACTATTCTATAGTCCAGACTGTACTCTGATCTGTAGTCCGGACTATAGACTAATTTATAATCCAGACTATAAACTGATTTATAGTCCAGACTATAGACCAATCGATAGTACATACTAAAGACTATTCTTTAGTCTAGACTATAGACTGTTCTATAGTCCAGAATGTAGACTGATGTATATTCTAGACAATAGATTGATCCATAGCCTACACTATTCTATACTCCAGCCTATATATTATTCAGTAGTCCAGACTACTGACTATTCTATAGTCCAGACCATAGATTGTTGTATAGTCTAAACTATAGAATATTCCATAGTCCAGACAATAGACTATTTCATAGTCCAGAAAATAGACTATTCTATAGTCCAAAATATAAAATATTCTAAAGTCCAGACTATAGAATATTCTATAGTCCAGACTATAGACTATTCTATAATCTATAATCTAGACTATAGACTATTCTATTCTAGTTCTGTTCTAGTTCTGTTTTAGACTATACTATAGTCCAAAATATAAAATATTCTAAAGTCCAGACAAAAGAATATTCTAAAGTCAAGACTATAGAATTTTCTATAGTCCAGGCT